CCCCCCCACCCGCCTCCCTCGAGCCGTGCCTCAGTTTCCCCACGCTGGGCAGTTCTTTGCGACTCCTGGGGACCTCAGCGGACACAACCCCCCAGTACCTGCACCCTGCCGGGGTAGGGAGCTCCCCGCAGACCCCCGCTTGCCCCGTCGGTCTAAGACCACGTAGCCTTCCTCGTCCTCCATGTGACGGCAGAGCCGGGGGTGGGCACAGGCTGGGGACACGGGGATGGCGACACTGGGCTGGGGACACAGGGGGAGGGGACAGGAAGCCAAAGCATCTCTGCCCGCTGGTGCTGGCCCGCTGTGGTGCGAGCTGGCAGCGACACCGGAGCTTCCTGCCCCCGCCACAGCCCGACACTGGGACACTCGCCCGGACACCCCGGGGAGGGGCTGGGGGCGGCGGGGGTTTGTCTCCAGGGGAAGGAAACCCGGCATACGGGGCTGCTCCCCACGGGGGAAAGGACAAGGAGCGGCACACGAGCTACAGCGAGAGAAAAAACCCTCCGTACCCCCGGCAAATTGTCAGAATACAAGGCCAAGGTGTTGGCCCTGATTTGTAAGAGATGAGAGTGTAGCCCTCATCCCCCTGGGCTACCGTGGAAGTCACTGCCGGTTTGGACTCAATTTATCCATAGGGATTGAAATGCCGAGCGCCGACACGGCTGTTCAAATTGATGGAAACAACGCCTTTTCCATAATTGTCTGGGTTTGAATCGCACAGAATCCCCCTTCTCCTACCATTTGAAGAGTCTCAGTTGAAGGAAAACACAGCTTCTTCATGATTTTGGGTGTTTCAGTTGACCGGGAATCACCGTTTTCCACGATTTTCGGGTTTAAGTGGAAGGAGGAAACCTTTAGAGCGCCGTTTGGTGGGGTTGAATTGAGGGAAACCGCCCCATTTTTATCATCGAAAGGTTCAAATTGAGGGAAAACACCGCTGTCCCTGGGCTTCTTCCCCTGAGGGGAACCTCTTCATGTGCCATTTTAAGAGCTCCATCGAGGTGGGTCCTCTCTTTGAAGGGACCCCCACAGATGAAAAAGATGTCCAAAAACCCCCACAGTGGTTTCTTGAGGGAAATTGAGGAGGAAACTGTATTTACCCTCATTTTAGAATGCAAAACTGAGGAAAAATCCCCCTTGGTTCACTTTTTATTCGGGATTAAATTGAGGGGAGATCCTTCTTCATAATTTAAGGGTTTAAACCGGGAGGGAATCTCTCCATCCCTCATTTTCTCCCTCGATTCGAGGCTTTCAAATGGTGACAAAAGGTAGTTTACCTTTGGTTTAATCCACAAAAAAACGGGAAAAGGACGCGGAACATGAGGCTGAGCTGCTGGTTTGAACTCTGTTTACCCGTCTGCGTTCCGAGGGCGGACAGACACCGAGGGCGGACGGACAAACAGCCCTGAGCAGGGCCGGTCCGAGGGGCAGCGAGGGGAGCGGGGAGCTCCTGGAGGCCGCGCTTGTCTCCGCAGGTGCTGCAGCAGCGTGCGGGGACTGGAGACGGCGCGGGACTGAGCTGGCAGCGTCCTCTTGAGCCTCGGTGTCCCGCAGGGCCGGGACCGGCAGTGACCTCTCATCATGTCCCTCTCTGCTCCCCGTGGGTGTAAAGCTGTTCCCGAGGCCGATCTCCGAAGGGCGATTTTGGCACTCCTGAAGGCTCGGGATCGAGGTGCTGTATGTTCCAGGCAGAGAGATGGCTGCTGCGAGCTGGAGGAGAGCGAATTCTGCTCCGTTCATGGGATTGTGAAGGAGCTGCTGCACCTCCAGCAGGGGCCAGCAGCCGGGGTTCCACACTTGCCTGGGGCGCAAGAAGCCGCTTGTCCTACGCCGGAGGATGCCACTTGGGAGCGTGCAGTGAGTGAAGATGCAGAGAATGGATTCTGCAGCAACGATGGGAGTGTGAGGGAGCCCCTGGGTGCCCAGGGCACATCAGCAGCTGGCAATGTCCACAAAAGAATCCTCAGAAGATTCCTGGGTGAGTGCAGGGCCTCTAGGGAGGGGACAGTGTCACCTCGCCAGGACAGAGCTGGCAGGTGTGTGTGGCTGTTTCCCGATTTCTGGACGAGGCCTCGTGCTCTGTTTGGCCCCATCAGTGGCTGGAAAGAACAGCCCCAGCTGCCCCCAAGCCCGTGCAGGTCTCCTGCTGCAGCCAGTCCCCAGCCCTGTGTCTCTGGCTGTCCCCAGCCCTGTGTCTCTGGCTGTCCCCAGCCCTGTGTCTCTGGCTGTGTGCAGGCTCTTGGCTCTCTCGCTGCCAGCTGAGTGAGGGGCAGACTGGCTGAGGGGGGTCCCTCCTGTGCTCCCAAGGTATTGGGTGAACTGATCTGAGGGCTGGCTCGGGTTCTGTTTCCCACTCCAGGCAAGCAGTTCAGGTGTCGTACTGTGGCCATTATGGTGAGTCCTGTGCTGCTGACTTTGGTGGTGACCCTGGCTGTGCTGTCAGGTAAGGGAGGGGCAGCAGCCTGGGCCCAGCCCCTCGGGACAGAGGGGTCCCTGCTCCCTGCAGAGGGGAATCCTCACACCTTCTCGTCTTCCCCCTCCAGCACAACAGGCTCCAGTTCCACCTGTGCCTGTGCAGGGCTGTCCCTGTGGCTGGGTCTGCTACTGCGGGACCTGCTACTACTTGTCAAGGGATCACGGCACCTGGGAGCAGAGTCAGGAGCGGTGCTCCAAGCTGGGGGCCTCCCTGGCCATTCTCAAGGAGGAGGAAATGGTGAGTGAGGGGCTGCGGGTGCTGTGGGGTGGTTGAGGGGAGCCTGGGCGTGCTCCCGGGCCGGGCTGGGTGCTCGTAGGGCAGGGGCTGCAGCTCTGTGCCAGGGCCAGGCAGGGAAGGAGCCCCACGGTGCAGGGGTCCCCCCGAGGGGCCGGATCAGCTCCCACTCCTCTCTCCGTGGCAGGATTTGTTCTTCCGGCTCCGCGGGAACACCGATTACTGGCTGGGGCTGCGCAGACGGGGCGAGCACCTGCAGTGGGTGGACGGCAGCAACTTCAGCTCCTGGTGAGTGCTGGGGAGCTGGGCAGGGCATGGGGGAGGACAGGGGCACAAAGGGTTCCCCTGGGAGCCAGCGCCGTCTCTGCTCCTCCTTGCAGGGTTCCTGTCCTCGGCAATTCAGAGTGCGTGTACCTGGCCGACGATAAATTCAGGAGTGTGGACTGCTCCAACGAGCAGCCGTATCTCTGCAGCAAGGCCCAAACTCCTCTCCAGTGACAGAGGGTGGAGAAAGGACCTTCTCCACGCTGGGCAGTCTCAGCTTCAGCTCTCAGCCCTGTCCTTTCTCAGCTGCACCCTGTGCCTCGCACTTTCTCTCAGGGTCACCTCAGTGCCTCTTCATCCCCACTGCCAACGCTGGCCTGGCTGTCCAAAGGAAAAGGCTCGGCAATACCTCCTGCCACCGATGCTCCCTGCAGGGAGCGCCTTGCCCTCATGGCACAGCAAGCTCAAATGGGAAATCCCACTCTTGGCATCGGGCACCTGACTGGCAAGAATGGTCTGTCTGTCTGTCTGCCTTGTCTGTCTGTCTGTCTGTTGTGAAGGATGTGAGTGTCCTCCTGCGGGAGGAATCCCAGGCTGGAGCAGGACAAGGATTTGTCTCCCGGAGGCAACAGCAGTGACATGAGGTGACTGTGGCCAAACATCCCTCTGCCACTGTGTGGGGAGGAGGGAGGGAGGCAATGGGGGATGAGGGAAAGGCCAGGAAGAAGAGAACGGTGTGGGGAAGGTGCTTTTTAGGATTTGGTGTACTTCTCATTTTTTACTTCTGATCTGTTTAATAATAAATTATATTATAAATTATCTTATTTATATTATAATATATTATTATAGTACTTAAAGTATAATTATTATAATAAATAATATATAAAATTTTATTTTTAATTCTCCAATCTGTGTCTGTTATGCCTATGATGGGTGAGAGATCTCTCGCTGCCTTTCTGGAGACCCTGCAGCCTTTCCTGATGTGTTCTGTTGCCTGCCCAGGGTGAGGAGGACAGGGACAGAGCGGTTTTGCTGGCCCCAGGCACCTGGCCAGGCCCAGCCCAACAATCCCTGTGAGAATTCACTCCACCATGACCCGGCCCCACGGCGGGTCCGGCTCCAGTAGTTCAAAATGAGCAAAATGGGAGCGAGTGAGGAGGCAGCTGGTGCCAGTGGGGGAAATGTCTTTGCTAGCATGGAGAGGAGGAGGCAGAAAGGGAAGGGGAGGGAAACAGGGACAAGGCTGGAGCGCTGGAAGATGGCCGGGGTGGCCATGGGGTGGGTGGGCATTTTGCTTTGCAGAGCTGTGGCAAGGAAAGGAAGAACTGTCCAGTCCATCCAGGAAAAGAGTGGAGCAATAGCAGGTGGTGGATATGGCCCACAATTGGGATTGATTTTATCTGCCTGAACTGCAAAGGCCGACAGAGTCCGAGCGGAGCCGGACGCCGCCACCGGCAGCGCTGCGATGTGTCTGGCCCTGCCCCTGCCCTGGCTGCAGCCTCCTGTGGAGACAGCCCCTTGTCACTGAAAGTTCTGCACTCAGGGATGGGTTACGTGCTGCTGCAATGAGATTAAGAGAAGAAATAGAATAAACAGCTGCACTGCCGGGTCTCCTCAACATGCTTACGCCAACAGAGCTCTGCCAAGGCATTGTCAGCTCGACAGTTCTGGTTAGAGTCACGGGAAAGGCTGGGAAAGGTGAAGGGAATAAAATTCAGAGAATGGTATAAAATAGTCTGAAAATACTGCACCAGCAGTCGACCCTGTAAGAATGGTATGAAAGGCTTGGAGGACTGATGGGAGTAGAACATAGAGACTGGTGTAAAATGTTACAAATACTGCACCAGCAGTGGTCGCTTCCCCACGACTAAAAGAACTGCACTGAGGGACCTTTGGGGTGGTGGTGCCGGTCAAAAATAGGGGCACAGAACAGGCTGGGAAGTGTAAAGGGAATAAAATAGAATGGTGTAAGAAAAATATAAGAACCACACATGGAATGGCTGCTGACCGTTGTCACTAAAAGAGCTGCACCAAGGGACAGCCAAGTTGCCAACATGGAAATGGTGTGTCTTGCCTTTTCCTTTCTTATTAACCATTAGAGGTATTTTCAAGGCCAGCAGGTACACTCAGAGATGTCCTGAATCATCATTACAGTGGGAAAACTGGGGCTGGCATCAGCTATGACAGACATGAGAAAGATCACAGGAGCACAAACACAGATCTCCCAGCTCCATCCCAGGGAGAGCAGTATCGGCACAGGGACAGAAATGCTGATATAACATCCTTTCCCACTGGTCCCTGTGCTGAGCTTAAGGTAGCATCCTTTAGGTAGTGTTCTTCAGTGTTTTTATCCATGGAAGTGCTGCATAGGGACACAGAAGTTCTACTAGCATATTAAAAAGAAGCTGAATAACCAGGAAGGGTGAGGTTTGGGAAAGGGACAGAAGCAAATTCACACATCATGTGATAGGTAACTATGGCTGCTGTGAGTATGTGGCATGGAGGACAGCTAGATTAAACCAGAATATATTCCAGAACTGTAACTATTTGGCCTTAGAACTGCAGGTAAGGTTAATAACCCTCACCAATTAAAAAAAGGGAAATTGGTCTGAACTAATTTAGACCACCATCTCTGCAGCCATTTGGTATCAGTACTCCTCTTCCCCACCAAATTACAAAGATTTTACTGGAAATCTCCCATTTTCTGTTTCCTGCCTGTCACAGTGGTCAAGTGACCTATGTGATTTCTGTGAATGAACTGAGCTTCACCTTCACAACAGCTTTGCTCCTCACTTCTCAACCTTGTACCCTTGTGAAATTCCCTCTGGGAGCGTTGTCAGGCTGAAGGAGAGGCTCTATTCCAAACAGCCGTCCACACTTCACAGGAGTAACACACGGTGGGACGTTCTCCTGCCTGGATTAATCCCTTTCCTTCTTAGCTCCAGCCCAGAAACCTGGGAGCTGTTAGGGATTCCTTCCCATGGCATGGCCCCACACAGCTGATTCCCAGCCTGGAAGCACAGCAGGCACCGACTCCTGCACCTGCCGGTTGTTCCTACCCCATTTCCAGAGGCTGAGTTGTTACCGTGTGTTACTGCAAGAATCCAAACCAAGGTGTCTGTGGGATTTGGAGGGGCTCTCCTGGGGGCTGTGTGGGGTGGTCTGTGGGATTTGGAGGGGCTCTCCTGGGGGCTGTGTGGGGTGGTCTGTGGGATTTGGAGGGGCTCTCCTGGGGGCTGTGTGGGGTGGTCTGTGGGATTGGGGTGAGGGGCCTGGGGTGTGTGGGAGTGTCTCTGGGATTCCTGTTCTTTTCCCCTCATATTTCCTGTCCTTTTTCAACTCGTGTTTCACACCCTTTTCTCCTCACCTTTCTAAATGCTTTCCTGCTTCTTAAACGTCACCTTTTCACCACTGTGCCATCTCCATTTTTTCACTCTTTTCAGCCTTTTTCCTCTGTTTTTTTCTCCCATTTCTTTTTTGCCCCATTTTTTTCCTGCTCTTTTTTGCTGTCCTTTTTTCCTCCACACCATTTTTCCCCACTCCCTTCTTTTCCTGTCCTTTTTTGCCGCCTTTTCCCCCACCTTTTTTCCTGACTTTTTTTCCCCACCCTTTTTTGCTGCCTCTTTTTCTCCCCTCAATACAAATCCCTCAAATGATGGAAGCAGTGGGGGTTTCTATCAATTTAAACCCTAAAGAATAAGGCACAACAGAGATTCCCTGTCAATTTAAACTCAAAGATGATGAAAATGGAGGGTTTGCTCTCATTTCAGACTGATAAAATCATATCATGAAGGGTTCATGAAGGTTCCCTGTTCTATTTAAGCGAGAACACGGGGATTCCCCATTGATTGATATCCCTGAAATAATGGCCAAGGCAGGGTTTCTTTCACTTGATACCCTTAATACTGCAGGTGAATGGGGATTCCCCCAGTTTAAATACAGACAAGGGAAAATTAACCAGTTAACTTCAGAATATACTTGGATAGAAATCTGCTGAAAGGGAACCACACCACCCTTGTCTTCCCTAATTAATTCCATCAGGCTTCCTTCACTAAAAATACTCTCAAAATTAAAAGCAGAGATGCCTCGTGTGTCACTTCAAAGCAGTGGAAGAGGCAATGCTTATTCTTCCATGGCAAACTGTGCTGTGAGCACTTCCAGAGCCTTGAAGGTCTCCAGTGTGAAGCTGCTGAACAAATGTCAGTAGTTGGAATGAGCACAGCCCCAGAGAAATCCCAGTCCCACTGATGGAAAAGTGAGATTATCCAAGCAGCAAGATCAGCTGGAGTGTTTCCAAAAGAGCAGCTTTGTGCTGAACCTCAGCTTAGGCTTTTTCCTCACTCACTGCAAGAGTTCCCCAATCTATTTTGACCTTTTGTATAGCACAGGCCACACAACAGTTGAATGTGATCATGTTCTAAACTCAGGTCTCTTTTAAAGTATCTAAACTTGATCTAACTGCTCATCAGTGGAGAATTTTATGTAGTTTCAGTGTTAATTACCTTCTGTGGTCAAACATAAACCCTTTCCAAGGTTCAAGTACCTCTGTTTTCCACCTCTAACTGCTCATNCCACAGCGCTTAGGGCATGTCACGGTGTTTCATCGGCAACGGTGAAGGAGCAAGGAGGAGAGTGACAGCGTGCAGGGCGTGTTGCGACGGCTCCCGAGCTGCGGGGAAGGAGTCAGGTTAGGAAGCACAGCACTTAGTGGGTGTGACAATGATTAACCATCACTGGAGAAAGAGCTGAGAGTGACAGAATTTAAGGTGTGTTGCAACATCTCCTGAGCCACAGGGAAAGAGTCGTGTTGATTGGCACAGCGGTTAGGGCGTGTTGCGAGGGTTCAGGAGCGAACGGAAGGAGCGAAGTTGGGAGTGAGAGCATTTGGGGCGTTTTGCAATGGTTCACTAGCGCTGGGGAACGTGTCAGGATGAGAGGCACAGCGCTTAGGGCGTGTCACGGTGTTTCATCGGCAACGGTGAAGGAGCAAGGAGGAGAGTGACAGCGTGCAGGGCGTGTTGCGACGGCTCCCGAGCTGCGGGGAAGGAGTCAGGTTAGGAAGCACAGCACTTAGTGGGTGTTGCGATGATTAACCAGCACTGGAGAAAGAGCAAGTTTGAGAGTGACACCATTTACGACGTGTGGCGAAGGCTCCCGAGCCGCTGGGAAGGAATCAGGTAGCGAGCCACAGCGTTTGGGGCATGTTGTGACAGGTCACTCGCACCCAGGAAGGAGCCAGGTGCAGAGAGAAAGCATTTACGACACGTTCCCACGGGTCACTCGCAGCCGGGAAGGAACGAGGCTAAGAGCCACAGCATTTGGGGCATGTCACGATGTCTCATCAGCAATGGGAGAAGGAGCAAGGTGGAGAGCATGCAGGGCGTGTTCTGACCGTTCCTGATCAGCCAGAAGGAATCTGGTTGAGAGCCACAGCATTTGGGGCGTGTTGTGACGGTTCACGAGCACACAAGAACGTGCAAGGTGGAGAGCAAGTTGCGACGGTTCACGAGCAAACGGGAACGTGTCAGGCTGAGAGCCACAGCGTTTAGGGCGTGTTGTGATGGCTCACGGGCGCCCCAGAGGGAGCCAGGCTGGGAACGGCTCTGCTGACCCTACTAGGAGTGCTGGCACACGTGTCTGTGAGGCTGAAGGGTTCAATATTGCCTGGCAGGGGAGGTAGCAGGCAGTAGATGTGCCGCTATTCTCTTTCCAGGTCCCCAGTGGGAGTGCTGGAACATAGGTCCGTGAAGCTCAACAGTGAAATTCTGCCCAGGAAGGGAGCAGGCAGTGCATGTAACT